AGAGCCAGCCCCTGCACCCCTAGCACCCACCCAGCTCCCAAGGGAGCCCCAAGCGCCCGTCCCCGGTTGTGCTCGGTGCTGCCAGCGCACGCCGGGGGCTCCTGTGCTCTGCAGCAACTTACCTCCATTCCATTCCGTGTCCCAGCACCATCCCTTAGCCATCCCGTGACAGCTCAGCTCGGGCTTCGTAGCATCCTCCAAGAATTCTGGGGACACCCAGAATGCCGCGTCTGGTCCGCATCCGGCCGGAGGAGACGCGTGAGCAGGGCCGTCCCCTCGGCAGAGGGCGGGGAGATGGCCGGAGTGGGTTCAGAGCATCGGGACAACCACCCCCTTTCCCCTCTCTCCACCTGGTTTGGTTTTCCACAAGTTCCTCTGCCAGAAAGGGGGGTTTGCTCGCCAGACTCTTCCCAGCCGTAGCGGCTCAAGGTGCTGGAGCCGCTGGCCCTTGGCTTGCACGGTGAGCAGGAAGGGGCAGCGCCGCGTTTGAGTTGGGGTCTCGACCCACCACCCCAGCTCCAGCCACCCAGGTGGTGGCTGAACCCGGACCCGCCAGTACCACCAAGGCAACTTCCAGTTACAGCAGGAGTTTTTCCCAGTGAGGACAGAAAGTAAGTTGAGGAGTTCCGTCCCTCCGGTGCGGGCTGTCCCGTCCGATGGCCGGCAGCACCCCCACGGACGTCCTGCCTGTCTCCTCCCGGCACGTTGGGATTGACAGCGCTGCTGAGCTGGCGGCCAGGTTTGCTTTCCCGTAGAATTTGGTCCTTTGCAAGCTGGTCCCTCGTATGGATACGAGGAAGAAATTCCTCCTGGAGAGGGTGGGGAGCACTGGGACAGGTTGCCCAGAGAAGCTGTGGATGCCCCATCCCTGGGAGTGTCCAAGGCCAGGCTGGATGAGGCTTGGAGCACCATGGTCTAGCGGAAGTTGTCCCTGCCCATGGTGGGGGGTGGGATGGGGGGGGGTTTAAGGTCCCTCCCAACCCAAACCATTCCATGATTCGATGACTCCATGATATTTCATCCTCAGCAAGCTGGTCCCTCCAAGAAGTTGCTCCTTAGCAAGTTGTCCCTCAACACCTTGGGATGAAACAGCCACACGCACACCAGCATTCCAGGATCTGCTTCCCAGGGCTCTGAGCTGCCTGTCCCCTTGCTGGGACTCAGCTACCCCAGTCCTGGAGACCCCTCCTGCCCCAAGCTCCCATCCCAGAGGAGCTCCTGGGGCTGCCATAGACCCTTCCCACCACGGGCTCCGATTGGGAGCTGCTGGAGCTGGCTTATCCCCTGTGCCCATCTTCCAGCTCTCATATCCTTCCCGGTTTCCAACACCCAGAGTCTACCCCTCTGACCTGCTCGGGGCAAGGACAGTGACTCTGCCCACGTCCCCGTGGCCGGAGGAGCCCAGAGATGGGCTGCGGAGGCAGGGAGACGAGGACGAGGGTTGCCGGGCGAGGACCGCTTGGTCTGCCTCTGGATGCATCAAGGGTTGATGTAAGGACGCTCGGAATGGCTTTTTAAAAATGGGAGATGGCACCGTGTGTGGGGATGGTTACCCTGGTGAGAGCAATCCAGCCTGGAAAACTGACGGGAAGATGGAGTTTGGTGTCAGCAATTGGAGAGATACCCTGGACGTGGACCTGGGAGACAGCAAATAATCCGGAAAACGCTTGTTCGCCCATGGGGAATGGAAAACGGTGGTTGGTCACATCCAAAGGCCACAGGAGAAACTCGTCTGCCCGCAAGTGTCCCCAAGCACATGGTGCCGCTTTTGGGTTCAAACCCAACACCGGGCAAGCTCCAAACCCGCTTTGGATGCTCACGTTGGCCAGGAGGAACAGCTGCCACCAGTAGTGACCCCGCGCCTTCTGCGTGGAGCTCGGGACAAGCGGGACTCTCCTCTGCTTCCCATCTGGGTGATGCTGTCGGACGTCATCCTCGAGCTGAGGGATGCCCATCCCAGCAAGCGCAGATCTCCATCCATGCTGGGAACTGGCTCCCGGCATCAGCCTTGCTCCTTGTGAACTTCTCCTGGTGGGATTCACCAGCCCAATCCCTTGGGAGTCCTGTCATCCGTGGGAACATGTTTATTTATCTGTATGACTTCGTAAACTCACCCCATGCCGACACCGTCCCCGGCTGGACGCGGCGCACAGCTGGTGGAGATGCCAACAGGGATTTATCCACCTCTGGAGGCGATTTAACATCTTTTTTTCGGTGCTGATGATCACCAAGGCCTGTAGTGACAGGACAAGGGGTGACAGGTTTAAACGGGAAGAGGAGATGGAGATGGGACATCAGGAAGGAATTCTTCCTGGAGAGGGTGGTGAGGCACTGGGACAGGTTCCCAGAGAAGCTGTGGATGCCCCATCCCTGGAAATGTCCAAGGCCAGGCTGGATGAGGCTCCAGCGCAGGAGGTGTGACCTGGTGGCACAAACGATGGGGACACGCCCAGTGTCACCGACGGTGTGTCCCAAGTTGGCCCTGCACCGGCACGCGGCCGAGCTCCATCCTCGTGGCACCAGGGCTTGGGTTTCAACGTCCCCCTAATCCCTGAGCTGAAAGGAGGGTCACCCCACGGGACAGGTGGCGGCAGCCCCCTGCCACCACCCTGCCAGGAGGTCATGGCCGGCTGCCATTGACGTTCGACTGCTCATCCCCTTCTTGTAGCCCGAGGCTTCCCCTGAGTTCATTTAGGACCGTGCTAATTAAGGCAGAAGCTGGTTTTACTTTGGCACCAGCAGCCCGTTGGTCTGCCTGTGCCAACCCCCAGCCTGACCATGCCGTCCACTGGAGTGGACTGGGCTGGAGAAGGCTGATGTCCTCAGCCAATGTGGTCCTTGGGTGCCCTGGATGAACACGTGGCGGTGGGCCAGGTCATGGACCAGCTTTTGGAAGAGCGATGGCTTCCAAGCCAGAAACCTCGGAGTAAATTCATCTCCTTCCACCCGGAAAGCCCCACGTGCCTTCAGCTGACCAGCACCTTGGAGGACACGGAAGGACCTTTTGGGTGATGTGGCCTCCACAGGGGCTGGGTCACTCGCAGGGGGGGTGAAGCTCCCACGTCTCCATGGCCAACTCCCTGCCACCCTCACCGCAGTACAAGACGGGAGCTGAGCAACGTCCATGGAAAGAGGAAACCCCACAGCTGGAAGGGACAAGCTGCTGAGCAAGGAGACGAGAAACTGCGACGTGTTGGAAGAAGTGGAGGCTCGGTCGTCTACCCGCAGCTCTGGTGGCAATTGGGGTGGCTTCCTTGTCCCCTGCTGGACTTGCCACCCACACTTGGCCCCATCTCTTTCCACCTTGGGTCTAATTCCTGCTTTTCTTCTGCTGTTCCTTACCTAAAGCCCAGCCCCAAGGCCATGGCACCACCGCAGTCACCTTCCGCCCGGTCCCCACTCGGGGCCACCGACACGGCTGCCCTGCGCGTGGTGAGGACGTCACCATCACCTCTGGATGGTGCGGCACATCCTTCTCTGCCCACGGGTCACATCCCCAGGGCCACCGAGGGAGCGGATGGACGATGAAGCCACACTGGACGGCTGCAGGCCCAGGGAACGGTCCATCCCAAGTGTCCTTTTCTCCGTGCTGGTCATGAGCTGTTTGGGTGTCCCCCCACCTCCTGGGGCGATCCCCAGGAGCTGTGCTGGTTCCAGTAGTAGACGGAGACTGGCGTGGCAGGCTCCGCGGAGGTCCTTCCTGCCTGGGTGCTCTGCGGGTGAGGTTAGACGTCCCTCCACACTCGGGAGATAAGGAAACATCCCTTTTTAAGGGTTTGGAGGAGCCACCAGCCTCCTGGGCATGTGGCCGCTGGAGAACCATGCTTGAGCATGGCTCCTGGGGAGAAGGGGGCATTCCGGGGGCTGTCCCCATGAGCCCAAGGGTCCAGCGGAGCTCAAAGCCACTTGTCCTTTCCCTCCCCCACGTTATTAACAGCCACCAGCTTCTCCTGTCCGTGACTGCAAAGCCTCAGTGACCGGGGTGCCGGGTGCGAAGGGAGTCCGGCATGTTGGCTTTCGGGTGGCCGCACTTATCCCCCCACTGGTCCCCTCCCTCCCAGTGCCGACCAGTGCCACAAGCTGCTATGGCTGCTGGCGCCCGGCCGGCTCCACTTGCCTATGATGGGATTGAGGAGCAGCTTCCTTAAAGGGGACGTAGCTCTTGGCGTGAGCATGGGGTGACCTCTTGATCGTTGGTTGGGTTGTATTGGTTGGTTGGTTGGTTGATGGGTTGGTGGGTGGGTTGGTTGATTGCTTGGTTGGTGGGTTGGTTGATTGGTTGGCTGGTTGATTGGTGGATTGGTTGGTTGGTTTCTCGCTTGATTGGTTGGTTGGTTGGTTGGTTGATGGGTTGGTGGGGTGCTTGGTTGATTGGTGGGTTGGTTGGTTGGTTTCTTGCTTGCTTGGTGGGTTGATTGGTTGGTTGGTTTGGTGGTTGATTTGATGTTTGGAGGTTGATTGGTTGGTTTCTTGCTTATTTGGGTGGGTGGGTGGTTGATTGGGTGGGTGGGTGGTTTCTTGCTTGGTTCGTTTCTTGGTTGGTTTGGCAGTGTGGCCATGCTGCTAGTGACACTGACTTGTCTGGCTGTTGTCTCCTAGTCGGAAGATCTCGGTGCCTGCGCCCAGTTCGAGAGCAGCAGGCAGACCAGGAACATGATGCCTAGCGCCAGCTGTGTCTTCCCCACCTTCAACCTGCGGAAGCCCTCCTCGGAGACGGACATTGAGAACTGGGCCTCCAAGCACTTCAACAAGCACACCCAAGGGCTCTTCCGCAGGAAGGTGTCCATCGCCAACATGCTGGCCTGGAGCAGCGAGTCCATTAAGAAACCCATGATCATGACCAACGACCGCAACGTCAAGAAAGAGGCGTGCGAGATATTTAAACTGATTCAGATGTACATGGGGGACCGGCGGGCCAAGACGGACCAGCTCAACGTGGCCTTGGAGATCGCCACCAAAGGCTGGAGCATGCAGGGTCTGAGAGACGAGCTCTACATCCAGCTGTGCCGGCAGACCACCGAGAACTTCCGTTACGAGAGCCTGGCCCGGGGCTGGGAGCTCATGGCCATTTGTTTGGCCTTTTTCCCACCTACCCCCAAATTTCATTCCTACCTAGAAGGATATATTTACAGGCACATGGATCCGGTGAACGACACTAAAGGTAAGAGGGAAACCGCTGCCTGGTGGCTTTGGCTCCTGCTGATGTTGCAACCCATTTGTTTATTATGGTTTTGCTCCTTTCCCTGTCACATTGGTGAGTCTCCTTGGTAAAATGTGGGCGAGGAGCTCATCCAACAGCCCTCCCGGAGGCGCAGCGAGCGCGGTGGTGCCTTTACCGCCGGCCTTTCCTCCCCAGCGCGTGGAAATCCAGCGTGAAACCCAAAACAAAATGAGTTTTGACACCTTGGCTGCAGGCTCGGTGTCACCTCTGCTGGGGTGGCCATAAGCGAGAGGTCCCGGGATGTCTCCTGGGCCGTGAGGACACTTTTAGAGGTCCCTTCCAACCCAAACCGTTCTGATTCTGGGATTTCACCATCTCCAGAGGCTTCTTCTGGCTTCTCAAATAATAGCTTTGGATCAAAAATAACCCCATGCTGGAAGGAGACCCAGCTTGATTCCCAGCTCCCAAGATGGTTTTGGGTCATGGCAGATGATTTTGGGTCATGGCAGATGATTTTTGGTCATGGCAGAGGGGTCAGATGATTTTGGGTCATGGCAGATGGTTTTTGGTCATGGCAGATGTTTTTTGGCCATGGCAGACAGTTTTTGCTCATGGCAGACAGTTTTTGGTCATGGCAGATGATTTTTGGGTCATGGCAAATGATTTTGGGTCAAGGCAGATGTTTTTTGGCCATGGCAAATGATTTTGGCTCGTGGCAGATGTTTTTTGGCCATGGCAGACAGTTTTTGCTCATGGCAGACAGTTTTTGGTCATGGCAGATGATTTTTGGGTCATGGCAAATGATTTTGGGTCAAGGCAGATGTTTTTTGGCCATGGCAAATGATTTTGGCTCGTGGCAGATGTTTTTTGGCCATGGCAGACAGTTTTTGCTCATGGCAGACAGTTTTTGGTCATGGCAGATGATTTTTGGGTCATGGCAAATGATTTTGGGTCAAGGCAGATGTTTTTTGGCCATGGCAAATGATTTTGGCTCGTGGCAGATGTTTTTTGGCCATGGCAGACAGTTTTTGCTCATGGCAGACAGTTTTTGGTCATGGCAGATGATTTTTGGGTCATGGCAAATGATTTTGGGTCAAGGCAGATGTTTTTTCATGGCAGATAGAAGAGACATAAATTCTGGCTATTTGAGCCCAAAACGGGTGGGAGCTGTAGGAGTCCTGGGCTCAGCCGTCCCTGCCCCTTCACCGCTGGTACCATCTCGCGGGTGATGGGCTCCGGCCTGGCAGGGGCGCGGGGACCGTTGGTGCCTGCCGTGAGTCTGGCAGGAGGGTCGGGCATCCCCACGTCCCACGGGTTGGTGCCATCTCACGGTGGGTGGTGGATGAGGCAGAGGTGGGGGTCCGGGGGTTGCCGGGGGGTTGCCGTTGGCAAGGCAGCCTCAGGAGACGGAGCCCGAATCGCTCCGGGTGTTTTTGGGTACCCTG